GCAAAGTTGAAAAATCTATTTTGCACCCTGATGACATAACATCTGGCAGTCACATATATTGAGGTGTAATGTGAGTGTAACCTTATGATAATTAAGGTTGTGCTGTCAAGTTGTTTGGGCCAGGATGCTGTGGTCTGGCAGTTATGTAATGATACATCTTGGTGGTTATGTGATGTATTTTGACCAGTATGTAATGATGCAAACGCCTTCCATTTTGTGATGTGGTCATCCTCCATTTTCTCATAATGCCAATTTTTGCATAATGACCTGGTCCTTGGAATTTAACCATATTTCAAAAGAGAGAAGTGGGTGTACTTCATTTAATCATCATCACAACTGCATAAAATAAACACACTAAACATTTTAAAAGATCAACTTGAAGGTCAGAGAGCAACGTAACTTTAAGGTTACAGAGCTGTTAGGTAGCAATCTAGGAATCAAATACTTCATTCTCAAGTTTTTATCCATCTCCAGCTATGTTTTGGTATGAAGCTGGTCAAGTTAAAAGCTGACCCACTTACTTAACAACTTTTTCGAATTTGACCTTCTTTAATTTCTCTGGACTCCAGACTCTCTCAATGTCAATTCTCATACTATTTTGTGAAAATTAGTTGATCATTCATTTTTCATCGATTCAATAAGTATTTGTTGAGTACCAACTATGTTCTAGGTGATGGATAAACACCTAGAAAACAAGTAAAGTTTCTAATTTGTGGTGCAGTCCACAAATAACTAAAAAATAGACAGTATCTGACCCTGAAAATTACTACACATAAGTGAGGTAATATGATAGAAAATAACTGTATGGGCTGGGCAGCCCTTTTGGCGAGCCACCTCTAAGAAGATGTCGATTAAATTAAGAGCTAAATCAATGGTTCTCAACCTGTGGGTCGCGACCCCTTTGGAGGCCGAATGACCCTTTCACAGGGGTCACCCAATTCATAACAGTAGCAAAATTAGTTATGAAGTAGCAACGAAAATAATTTTATGGCTGGGGGGGGGGCTTGTCACCACAACACAATGGACTGTATTAAAGGGTCAAGGCATTAGGAAGGTTGAGAACCACTGACCTAAATGAATAAAGAGTGGGTGGGTGTGGGGGAATGATACACAAGACCTAAAGTGAGGTTTTTGGCATATTCTAGAAATGCATGCTTAAAATGTTAAGAAAAGGTAGAATGAAGTTGGATTTTTAGAGGACATATAAAAATCCTGAGAATTTGTTTTTTAAAGACCATTTTAGATGTTGTTTGAAGATAATTGAGGAGCAAGAGTGAAAATGGGAACAGTTCTAATTTTAGTACAGTAATTCAGGGCTTTTTAATTAGAGTGGTGTGTTAGTCTGGATAGACTTGAGAAACAAATCCAGGGAAGCTCATATGTGTTTAAGAAAGAGCATTATATACCAGAGCAGTTGAATATTGAGAAAACATCCCAGTCCAGATCAAGTCCATAAGTCTGATATTAGCCCATATGTCTAATACCAATCTAGAAGGTCCTCTTCAGACTCATGAAACACATGCAATGATGTCCAATGCATGAAGATCACAGGCCAGTGGGTGGAAGGTCTTATGGATCCAGTGGCAGTGGAATCTCAGCACTGGCAGGGGTCTCCACATGGGTCCTCTGGCTCCAGAGCTCCAGCATAGCTCCATGTGTCTTGTCAACGGGAATTTCTTGCAGCGAGTGTGTGGCCAGCTTCCAGAGATTTATCTCCTTAGTGCCTCCAAATAAGGTCATCAAGCTGCAACCTGACTGACAAGCTAAATCCACCCCTTCACCCTTAATCCTCTCAAACTGACGATTATGTAACCACCACAGGTGGTAATGTGCATTGCTATCGAGTCATCATTTTGACTTGTGGCAACTTCATGTGGTAATAGAAATAACAGGTTTTAATAACCTTTTATTTCTGGTTTGTGCAGTGTTTCTTCTTTTGGTTTTGTTTTGGTGATGGGAGATTGACAGTAGCAGTATGTCACACTCTTATGGAAATGTCAAATAGGGAGTTGTAGACACCAAAGTCTAGAAGTATGGGGGTGAAGTTTCAGTTGAAGAAAGACTCCGAAATTTTTTGTGTACAGATGGTATTTACAACCACATACCCGAGTGGTTACACACAGAGAACAGGGGCCCAGCACGGATTCAGACTTGGAGAACTTAAAGCAAATGAGATGAGGAGCATGGCTGCTGAGGTTAAAAAAATTAAGAACATGATGTTCCAGAGTATCTCAGATGAAACTATTTCAAGAGTTTGAATGACTTGGATATGGCAAGATGGAGGTCGCTAGTAACTTGAACAAAAACTTTTGAAAGAACAGTAAAGCGATAGATGGCAATCAACTGTATCCTAGAAGTTTTAAGGAGTGTAAGAAATAACTGCATTAGAACATATTTCTGGTTCATTGGATGAAAAAGAACAACTACTAATATTGCAGGGGAGTGGATGACTGCAATCACTGGGATGGTAAAAATGGAATCTGAAGCACAAGTGGAATGACCAATCTTTGACAGAAGCAAGGACAGGCACCCATTCAACAAGAGATTGAATGTGGGCGCATATGCAGACAAGGTTAGCGGTTTTGCTACTATAAATTTCAGAGTTCTCATCTGATGTCTATTTATAAATACTGTTTACAAACTTAATATGAGTATGACAAAGTTTTAAAAAGGATTCATTATTGTGAACTGAGTCAAAGTTTGTGTGATACTTTTTAGGGTAGATGAGTTTATACAGGTGGTTGACCAGCTAAGATTTCAAAGAGCGGTAAAGCAAGCATATTCACAAAGTGTAGTAAATCTGACCAGTACTTAGTCCTCACTTAAGATGTGTAGCCATGACACTACTTTACCTGGCTGTATGTTTTAATCCAGCCATGCTTACCAACGATTAGTTGCTTAGTAGTAGGTGAAGGACTGGGTGTAATTGGAATGGAACCTTTTGCCAGTAACGTAGGACCATGGAAGAGTAAAGAAATGAATGGACGAAGGGGTGATTATAAAACAGGGGTGAATCCAATAGATCGTAAGTTTTCCTGAGGTGACAAGACCCCCAGAGTGACAATACTAAATCAGATGAGCTACATGGCAAGCATGACACTTAAAGTAGTTATAAAAGTGACATGGATTTTGATGTCAATAAAAAGGGAACGGTCATGAAGTACACTACCAAGATTGTCAGATGTAGTCAGGTTGGTTCTGATTCATATGCCACGTACAAGAGTGAACACTGGATGGATGGGTCTATGCCATCCTCAAAACCGTTTGAGCTCATTGTTGCAGCCACTGTGCCAATCCATGCTGTTGAGGGTCTTCCTCTTTTTCACTGTCCCTCAACTTTCCCAAACCCAAGAAAGGTGTGCATCAGGGTTTTATCATACTGCATGCTGAGCAAATAATCAGAGAAGCTGATCTATAATGAACAAAGTAGCACCAGGATTGGAAGTTGATGAGCAATCTGCGATGTGCAGGTGGCATGAGGACTAGAAGTGCATGCTGATAAAGATCAAGGATTACAGCTTTCAATATGGACCACACGTTAGTGTTAAGAAAACAAATATCTCCACAAATGGACCAATAGGTAACATCAAGATTAATGGAGAAAAAGCTGAAGTTGTAAAGGATTTGTCTTGCTTGGATTGTCTTGATTATCCCATAATCAATGCTCACGGAAGCAGCAGTCAAGAGATGAAAGGACACATTGCATTGGGTAAATATACCTCACAAGACCTCTTTATATGGTTAAAAGGCAAGGATATTATTTTGAGGGATTAGGTTTGCCTAATCCAAGCAAGCCATGGCATTTTCAATCACCCCATATGCATGTGACATTTGGACAATGAATAAGGAAGATTAAAGAATTGATGCATGTGAATTATGGTCTTGGAGAAGAATACTGAAGATACCATAGACTGCCAATAGCACACAAAATCTGTCTTGGAAGTGCACCTTAAAAGTGAGACGATGAGTCTTCCCCTCACTAACTTTGGGCATGCTATCAGGATGCCATCAAGAAACTGGTGCAACAGAACAAAACACTGCCTGGTCTTGTGCCATCCTCACTTGCTGTCAAGGCAGAGCCCATTGTTGAAGCCCCTGTGTGGATCCATCGTGACTAGCATTGTTCTGTTTCAATACAACCTTGACTCCCACCTTTCTTCATTTTAAACAATGCAGTGTTCTTTTGTCTGTTTGCACAACTGCACATCCAGGATAGATGGAAAAATGAAACTTGGAGGAAGAGAAGTTGAGAAACTGAAAAATAATGAGTAATTCAAGGAAAGTATTCCGAACTCCACTCAATTTAAAAATGGTAATCCTAAAAATAGAATGAAATTAGAAACCACAAACAGGAAATATTTCACATCTGTGCCTTAAAAGGATGAAAGTGCAAAACCTTCATCCACTGTATACATGAACTTATTAATGCTATAAGAAATGCATTGCAAAGGCACAAGTGTCTGGTTCCCCATAATTACCTAGCATTCATTTTTTTCTAATGAGTTTACACTCAAATATTCATGCTTTGAAAGCTCATTGCTCTTCAGAGCAAAAAAAATAGTGAGAGAAAAAACAAAAACAATTAAGTAGAAAAGGAAACATTAGGAATTCTCAGTCAAGACTTACCAGTGATGAGATCTATGCCATTGACTTCCCTCGGCCTGTTATTGCAAAGAAATCCACATGACTCCAGCTCACTATTAAAAGGCACTTTCTTAGAGAAATTCTTTGGTCTTCATATGTAACACCCAATCCATATAATTCTTTCCTTCTTAGTGCTTCTCATCAATGAACACATTAGACCTTGTTTATTCTCCAGCCCATCATAAGCCCCATATGAGGGGAGGAGCTACTGTGTTCATTATCCTCTCTCCTAGGACAGGCCAAGGCACAGGGCCCAATACAGATCAGTACTGAATGACAAGGGCTTCCCATTTTACATTTAGAAGGTAAATTATGAATTAGTGACTCAAAGAAACAAAAATGTCTAGGCCACACTCTCATTTTTAAGATCTTTATCAATGTTCAGTACAAAAATAAAACAGTGTCCTTTAGGGCTCAGAGCCTAAGTTCTTTAAATCCAGTTTTCTAAACTTAGAATTCTGTGCAATGCTCTGTTTATGATAGTCCTGTCTAATGAAGCCATCTTTTAACTACCATGGGGGTTAAACACTAGTAAGATTTTTTCAAGCTGCCATATTGGTATTTTTCAATGGGAGGGAATAAGGTTTCCTTATTTTCATGGACATTATTATAAATTGTATGTAAGATTTTAAACAATAACAAAAATAGAACACATTTGAGTCAGAGTATGTTTTAGAGCCAAATATTAAGACAGTAATCTTCCTAGTCTCGAACTCTGTACTAAAATATATTTTATGTACTTTTAAAATGAACAAACACAGAAAGTTGATTTAGTAAGGTTAAGTATCTGTCAGGAAAATTTAAGATCACAGAGGTAATATTTTATTTCAAATATAATAATTATGGTCACATATTACTTGTTGAGTTACAGTGATGAAAACTCTAAAATTCTTATAAAAAATTAGAACAAATTCTCACTATGGCTGTGCACATTTTTTTCATGACTATATCTTTTCCAATGACCTACCAACCCAAATTAAAAATTAAGTACACATTAATTCACCAATAGTGATGAAACTTCAAGGCTGATAAAAAGCACTAATCACACAAGATTTCAATTAAACATTATCTAGCAGTCCAGAAAGGAACTGTAACTAAGAAAAATCCTAATTTTAAACACTGCATCATTTTAAAGACTGACATATATACCTAGCTTTACTACCACATTCATGAAAAAAAATTCCACATATATTTCATTGAAGATACAATATGAAACTTGCAATATACCCTCTATTGTATAACAAAAACAAAACAGAAAAATAACCAGGTTCTTTTATAACTAACATCTCATTAACAAAGTTAACAATGTTAAGCTGAATTGGTTAGTTTATTTGGTCTTCAGTTACAAATAAAAAGCACACAAATAATTTATTATACTAGTTCTGTAAACAATTGGAAACATAATTGAGAAAAAAGCATTTTGTCATATTTTTAAAAAAAATCACTGATTCAATGAGCAGTTGATCATTTTATTCACAAAATATAAGCAATGTTTACATCCCTCGCTGGTAAAACCTTTCCCTTTAAATAAATTTATTTGACAGTTTTGTGATGCATCAATTATAAAACAAGTTTAAATGAAAACATTTTTAAAGTGTACAAATACAAACCAGAACTTTATACAAGAATTCTCTATAAAGTTCGTCAATCAGTGTAAAAAATACTTTGTTTCAAATGGGTGTGTAAGGCATGTTCAGTTTGTATTAATTGTAGGATTATTTTTGCTTTGTTGGGGACTTTTCTCTTCGCCGAGTTTTCTTTGATTCTCTGGATTGTTCAGAGTAGCTGCTAGATTTTTCCCACCGCCTTTCAGTACCATTCTGATACCTGTTTTCATCACTTCTAGAGCCCGAGTGCTTGCTAGTCTTTTCCCTTGACTTGGATCTATCTTTTCTTCTAAAATGGTCATTATCCTTATTTTGGGACCTGTGCTTCTCATTTTCAGAAAACGAGTGTCTTCTCTCGTCTCTCGTCTTTTTGGGGTCACCATGCTTATTTTCCAAACCCACGTGCACTTCTTGGTCTCTGTCACTCACAGTCCTTCCGTAACTACTTCGTTCGGAAGGAATGTCTCTGTCTGACGTGTATTTTGCAGAGGCATCTCTCCAGTCAGTCTCTCTTATATTTGGATCTCTGTGTTTTTCTGATCTCCTGTCTCTCTCAGCTCTGGATTCTTGGCGCCTTTGCTCTGATCTTCTTTCTTCATCTTTTCTATCTTTTGTTTGTTGTTTCCTAATCAACTTATCTACTTCTTTACGTCTGGTCTTCCCGTGGACCTTCTTTCTTAACTTTTTAGCTGTGTATGTAAAACAAAATCGTTGAACTTTAAACTTATTTTCTTAACAATTCACATGTAAATACAGTATAGGCTAACTAACTCAGGCAAACTGGATACAAAGCCGCACTGACTGAATGGAAAGATGGAAAACAAAATACTTTATAACATGCATGATTTTTAAGAATCTAATATTTCAGCATTTGTTATTAAAGTACTATTGTGATCCTTAAGAATCAAGACAATGAACAGAAACTTAAAACTATAGCAAATGTTGTAAACTTATGTTTAATGGAAATAACTAGAATGATACGCTTACAAATGTTATCAAAAATGGAAATTCTAGTTCATGTGCCTGTTTCATATGAAATATGGTATCAGAGCTTATATATAATCACAATTTAATGATCATACCACTAGCAACATAGCTTACTAGAGGTAGGGGACATGAGATGACTACATCTGTGTAACTCTATGCACATACTGTACAAAATATTAACCTCCCGCCATCAAGTTGATTCTGACAGCTTCGACTCTATATGTATTTCTTAGGTTATAAATCTTTACGGATCCAAGAGCCTTATCTACCCTACGAGGGCATACATAAAGTTTGTAAAAAAATTCAATTATCTTATGATTCCATATTTCCATGAACTTTAGGCTGCTTCATGTATTTTTCAAATAAACTATAGCTCTGCTCGTCTGTGCTACCAGAAAGGCACTAACTGTGAGGATAAAAAAAGCCCACAATATAGATAAAGTCATGTATATATGCAAATATATTTATATATGAGGATGGGGAAATAGATCTATGTGCATATATTTATAGGTTTAGTATTAAGGTAGCAGAAGGACATTGGGCTTCCACGCAAGTACTCCCTCAATGCAAGAATACTTTCTTCTATTAAATT